AGCTACCTTACCCTCATTAAAGAAAATCAGTCTCAAACCTCACCAATCCATCAACAGCTTTTTGGTGATTTTCCCAACCAAGTTTACTAAGAGTAAAAAATCAAAACAGCCCCAAGAAAATGAAGTAAAACCAGACCAAAGACCACATGCTAAAATTTAGATTGAGACAAGTCAAAAACATATTTATGAATGCAAAATGCCACAGAATAAACCTAACCAATCAGTCTTAACAAAATCCAAGAAACTCATGTTTTAATCAAATTACTCCAAACTGTTTTAGACAGCATAGCAATTAATCCAACACATCATAACCTAAATTTGGCAAGAACAAGTTTAACACTTATGATGGTATTCATTACAACCTCATCACTTATCAAACACAAGTATTATGAAAACCAACCAAGTGTTCATAGCTTCAAAAAGCCTAAAAATGCTCAAAATGCATAATCATGAAAGAATGATGAAAAATTCAAGGTACACAAGTTACATACCTCTTGTAGATCTCTTTAAGCAGGCTAGAATAGCCAAGAAACCCAGAGACCCTTAATGTCACTTTCTTGCTTTTAAGTCTTTCTTCAACTTTAAGTAACAATGCACTTATGGTGCCAAATGACAAGATATGAGTTTCTAATGATGGATAAGGGCTTAGACAGTTGAGATATATGGTATGTGAGGTGTTCAAGTGGTTACAACCTTAAGGAAATGCTTGGAACTCAGTTTGGTGTTTTTTGTAGCTTTGGTCAAAGTATGGTGGAATGAGAGTTGACTTTTTGATTTTTTGTGGTTCTTGATGTTTTAATGAGTCATACACCTTCCATATGTCATTTAGGAGATGTGTGGATGGTTGTGAGAGTGTTGGAAATATTAGAAATGAAAATGGTGTGAAAGTTACAAAATGACCATTTTTGGTGTTTTTGAACTTTTCTTCACTTATAAGTAAAGAGAGAATGAGAGGGAGAACTGTGATGCTTTGATCTTATGAGCAGCTCTGGTGTGTAAAACAAATGAGGGTGAGGCCTCTATTTATAGGAGAAAGAAGGATGAGGGCAGCTTTGTATTTTCCATCTTTGGAGGGAGTTTCATGATGTTTCTTCCACAATCTTGCCAAGATCTTCATATCATCTCCTACACATCAATTCCTTGGCTCAAGGTATGCAAATATCAGCTGACATGAGGGACTTGAGATGACTAGAGAGAGCTATGAAGGTAGGGGCCTGCAGCTGCCATTCCCTTGTAAAGTTTCTCTTTCTTCTTTTAAATGAATATAAAATTGTCAACTTGCTTCAACTTGCCAAACCCCTCAAACTATCCCATTTTCTGGGTTTCTCTTCATTCCTACCTCATATTATCAGTTTGTAACATGACCCAAGGGTGGAGAATGACTCAAGTTGTGAAAAACCCAATTTTGATATGTTGAAGCAAGTGAACTTTTAGTGTGACAGACCCAACTTCAAGACACCATAACTTCCAGCTCACAACTCCTCTTGGGGAGTTCTTGTTCTTTTTGAAAAGCCCTCATATAGCCCTACAACATTCATGTTTGTCAAAAGTTCCAAATCTATGTGCATCTTGGTTGAAAAGTCCCTTAAAGTTAGCAAAAAACAAGTTTTGATGCAGCCAGATTTTGAGAAATTCACTAAGTGTTTTGTACTAAAAAATGACTTTGATGATAACTCCAATTCCATGCATTTTCTGAGTGTGGACTAGTATAGGACTTTTGTAGGAATTGTTAAGAGCTTTCCGACGAGCTTTGAACCACCTCGTTTGGGTGTGTGGTTAGGGAGTTAGGGTTTAGCCCCTTTCGAAACCCTAATTTCCCGATTTTCCGATTACTCTCACGTCCTTGATCCGATGATCCTGAAAATTGATATGTAGGTCCCTCATGACATAAGGAACAACTTTTCTTCACAACTTGAAGTCCAATTCCTAAAATTTGAGGGGGTTGACTTTTCGGTCAACCGTACGATCGATCGGCGATTACCGAACCGTCCGTTCATGTTTCGGAGCTTCCAAAACTTTGAAACTCTTTGAGGGGACTTCAATAAGCCATATGAACTTTTTAAACCATACTTTTATCCTTGAATTATTTCCCAAATCTAAAGTCAAACTACAGTTGACTTTTTCAACCCGAAAAACCCTAATCGAGTGCCTTGAACTGCACTGCATCCCATCTGTGGGTGATTACCTCAAATTGAACTCACACATGACCCAATATGGTACTCTTGATCTCATTTCATAAATGATTCAACCCAAAACATTGGTTGACCAATCCTCGAAACTTTGATTTTATCAGTGCGGAGCCCCGTTTCATCTGTATCTTGACAAAAACACACTTCGAAACTTGTTAAGGTTAGATAAATAAATGCATATGATATGAAGAGGATATAAGGGGTCAAAATTTGGGGTGCAACAGAAGCTTGGTCAGGAGCTTAGGGAAACTAGGGTTTTAGGAAGAGCATTAGATCAGTTTTGCTTGTTTCTTCAAACATGGAGTATATTGTTCATCTCCATTCAATCCAATGACTTAAAGTTCTCTTAAAGAAGTCACATCTCTCCTTTGGAGGGATGAATGGCATGCTTTAAGAGTAAAACTTTGAGGATTCCATTCTCTTATAATGTTAAGTTCTTAGTGGCTTCCTTTGGTTGTCATTAAGTTACTTAACATTTCAACTTGATCTTGTTAATTGATTCTCCCTTGGAGGTTGCTTGCTGAAGCTTGTTGAAGATGAGGTTTGTGCTTGTTGAAGCTGGTTGCTTGTTGAAGCTAGGGTTTTGAAGCTTGATGAGAATGAAGTTTGTGCTTGTTGAAGTTGGTTGCTTGTTGGAGCTAGGTTTTGCTGCTTGTTGAAGATGAAGTTAGGAGCTTGTTGAAGCTGTTTACTGGTTGAAGTTTGCTGGTTTAAGCTGGTTGCTTGTTAAAGCTAGGTGCTTGTTGAAGATTGGTGCTTGTTGAAGAGTGAAAGTTTATTGAAGCTTGAGGATAGGAGCTATTCATGAAGATGAAGGTTGTTGCTGTCAACTTTTTGCTGTTTAATCAATTTGTTGCTGTCAGAGCTGCTGCTTGTGCTGTTTGCTGTAGGAGTTTGGTGCTGCTTGTCATACCCTATATTTGTCCTACCCATTTTCAATTATTTTCGCTTTTCGATTTTATTTTCTATTTTACGTCGTTTGCTTATTTCTTGTTATTTAGACACGTGTCCGCTCGCAATTGGTCGATTTTTTAGAAATTTATCTTTATGACCAATTAAGGCGTGACATGTGGCCTAACAACCTTTTTGTGAATATTATTTTCTTAAACTTTTTCTTTTTTTAAAATATTACTGATAATATTTTTAGTAATTATTTTTTGTTTTTTTTTTAAATTTCAGTCTATTTTTATATTTCTTTTAATATTTATTTAATGATTATTGTTAATATTTATGAATTAAATAGTTGTTAATATATCAATTTAGTTATTAGTTATTATATTTACTAATGTTTAGTAGTAAGTATTAATTAGGATAACGAGAAAATAAAAAAAAAAGAAGAGAGAAATCTAGATTTGAAGCAGGCCCTTTACGAAGGGATTGATCAGGCCCATTGTCTGAGGTTATAAGCAGAAGCGAGGAATTGATTCAAGGGAGACCTAATTTGCTACTGTTCACCATCTCCAAAGAGGTGAAAACGGCGCCCCAAAACTCTAGCTCCATCAAAACACAAAACAGAGTCGCCGCAACCCCTTCTCAAACCCTAAACGGTGCCGCCGCTCAAGCTCATTTCTCCTTCGACCACGACCTTCCGCAGTTTTCACTCATCATCATTCCAAACGAGACCCTACTGTACATCTTCTCTTCTCCCTGGAACCGACGCCACCATCCTCACACGAAACCCTTCAAACCCCTCTGTTTTCTGCCATTGAAACACCATTATTACGACCCATCCTCTCGCTCGCCTAAGTTATCCTCAATTTTCGAACCACAAGACGACTTTTCAATCCCTTTTCGCGATGATCTGTTGGTTCACGTCAATGCGGTCGACAAACGGTAAAGGGTTCTCTTCTTAGCTCGCACGGTTACATTTTAACGGTGACGAAGTTGATGATTCACACGCAATCCTGACATTGACGAAAACTTGCGACAACCCTCGTGTCGAAGTTTGTCTTGTTGAAGTTAGATATTTGTTGAACAGAGTTAAGGGAGTTTGTTTTCCTCTGTCAATAATGGCTCAGCTTCAGTACCATTCAACGCCTCCAGCTGACGAATTTGTAACTTAAGGGTCATTTCCTTCCAACAACAACGGAGTCAAGTAACCGCATATTCGGTATTGGTTTCAAGTTTTCATGACTATCTATTATTGTGTTGTTACTCAGTATTCACTTTAACTTTGATTCAATTGAGATGCATATTCATGTCTTATATGCATATTAGGAGCTGTTATATTTATTAACTTTGATTCGGTTTGGATGTGATCTGTGAATTTTCTCACAGGATCAGTTGTTCCATTGATCCTCGCTTATGTTTTGGTTTAAATATTTGTTACGTATCGACTAGAGTGATGTTGATACTGCCTGGAGGTTGGCTGTGATTGTATGATTCACATTAATAAGTATGGTTTATGCTGCCGATGTATCGATACAACTTCGAGCATCTTTCATTTGCTGTTGAGGATGTGTTTTTTTTTACTGATATAAGGTTGTATGTGTTATGATATTGGTGTTGTTAAAGCTTACTTAATTTTGGTTTCCTAATTTTATGGTCTTGCAGTGATCTAGAATTGATAACCATTGAGGTTTTGTGGCTTTACACATGATATTTCAGAAATAGGGTCTGCATTTTCTTGTATTGTTCTTTTAAGACTTGCGGATTTTGGAGCATCATGAGAATCGCGTCTAAACGTAGAAACAAACAAAGCAACCACAAAATTTATGCAGCTTTAGATCAACAATCTCTCAGTGTCTCTCCTCTATGGAATGGTAGATTTAAGTTGAAGAGGTTCCACATTGGTAAGATCTTGGTCTCACAATGGGTAAATCACCAGGAAAATGGATCAAAACTGTTCTGTTTGGGAAGAAGTCATCCAAATCAAATATACCAAGAGGAAGAGAGAAGCTTGTTAATCAAAAAGAAGCAGTTGTTGCTTCCAAGGTTTCAGAACCTGGTTTGGCTTTAAAGCCAACTACCAATACTATTCCCAGACACGAGGAAGAGCTGGAGCTGGAGAGTAGTAGAGAAGCAGAAAATGTTTTGCCTGGGAATCAAGAAATTCACACGGTGGGACTTGTTCATCAAGATGCACCACTTGATCCAGAAATATTGAGGCGGGAGGAAGCGGTTACGAAAGCACAGGCTGTTTTCAGGGGTTATTTGGAGACTAGGTCTTCGGTTTGTTAAGAAAAACTCATCATTCACTCAATTTGATTATAATTAATTAGCTTAATGTTTTAGTACAAATGTTTTATTTAGATTTTATTTTTACTAGTTAATTGACAATTTACCTCAAGTTAATTTTATAAGCATTTTCCAAATTGGAATATTCCATTTAATTAAAGACAATTCAAAAATATTTTCTAAACAAAATCATGGACTATTTTAAAGTGTATTTTCAAAATATGATTAATTATACACTAATTTCTTAATCCAATTTATTCTCAACACACAACATTTTCTTAATCAATAACGAAAAAGAACTCTTAAGGTCTAGCATCTTTTGAGTTCTTGAATAATCACTATTGGGGCGTACGCCTTGGGTGGTGCATCGTTCGACTTTTTCGTTTCAAAATACGTCCTTTAATTATTTAGACAAGAAAATGTCATTGGAATCTAGCATTCCACGTGATACTTTTGTTGTTTATTCAAACAATATTTTATAAATTAAATCAAAATCATTCTTCCATTTATTAAATAACTTATTTTTCAAAATAGATTTTCTTTAAAAAAAAGAAAAAAACTTTGAAGCAATAATATTTCATTAAGCATTTCCAAATACCAATAATTATCTTTTTTCAAATCAAAAATTGCTTTATATTTGATTTAATAGATAGTTTATTTTCAGACAATCCTAAATTATTTTCTAAATAAAACTTCAAACTATTTTCAAACTTTATTTTCAAAATTGACATCATTTTTCTATTTCCATTCCAATAAATTTTTCAATACAAATTACTTTCTCAGTTAAATCATTCTCAAAACTAATAATTTTTTTTTCTTTCTAATCTTCATTCAACTTCTTTTTTAAATATTAAATTATTTTTAAATCAAATTACGAAAAATTAAACTCTTGAAGTCTAGCACTTCTTGAGTTTTCGAATGGATATTATTGAGGTGCACACCTTAAAAAATGTTTTGTTCAACTTTTCGCTCTTTAAAGATACTCTATTTTGAACAAAGAAATATCATAAGAATCTAGCATTCTGTGTGGTATTTCCATTGTTCATCCAAAATCGAATGAAAAAGGTATCGTCGAGATCTAGCATCTCGATAATACCCCGATTAATTGATTGTGAGGCCTACGACTCATTTACCAAATAATCGTCATTTCTCCTATACTTTTCAAATCCAATCTCGTATTCTCGCCTCTCATACCACAAACTCTTTTCATACCTCATTTCGCTTCAAAGCATTTTCAAAACACCTTTCTCAATTAAAACTTCGAAAGAAAGAAGTTCTTGGAATCTAGCATTCCTTGAATTTCCGAGTAGATAATTCTCGAGGCACGCTTTTAAGTTATTATTCACTCAACCTTTCGACTTTTTTTTCAAACTCAAATCATTGTCAAACATTCTCCTAAGTCGAATGCTCGTACGCATTCGCAGCCATCGACATTTTGCACACGCATTCACAACTCCTCGTGGTCTCGATATTAGGGGCACCCTTAGGGTCTAATATCGTTTTCTCACAATCTAACCCTTGACACGTCGTCAAGTCGGTTCCATCTTCGATCAAATCCTCGACACGTCGTCGAGCTACTTCAAAACAGCTTCCTTTTCGCCTCACATTCCGTTTTCGATTCAATCTTTTCACAAACATTTTTAAACTTATGAAGGAGGGATATTCTTAGAATCTCGCATTCTTTGAATGTTCGATTAAGTAACTCTCGAGGCGCGCCCTTGAGTTGTTATTAGTTCATTCTTTCAAATTCAAAACATCCAACTCTTTATCTTCAACTTATTCAGTCAATTCCCGAAAGAAATGAGTTCTTGGAATCTCGCATCCCTTGAATTCTTGAGTGACAAGCTCTTGAGGCACGCTCTTGGGTTGTTTGTCAGTCACTCTTTCGTCTTAGACTCAAACTTCAACCCTTTTCAAACCTCATCTTTTCGTGGTCGTTACCACGAACTACGGACGCTCTGATTCTTTATTCATTCTTGAATATAAGATACGTAGGCACAAGATTGCGATGATCTTGGCGAGCACAATCCCCTCCATCTTCCATTTCCCCCTATCCTTTCCCATAGTCGAACTACGACGCTCTGATTTCTCATTCTCGTCCGAATGAGCATACGTAGGCACAAGGGCCCCAAACCTTGGCGAGCACCCTATCCTCTAACCCCTCATTTCCCTTTTAGCGTCTTAAACCTTTTACCTACCAATTCTACCTTTAACAATGAGAAGAAAACAAGTAAACCTAAACAACACTCTCCACAAATACCTTAAGAGGTTCCCGTCGAGTACGACGGATGTGAGGGGTGCTAATACCTTCCCCTCACGTAACCGACTCCCGAACCCGGAACATGGTTGCGACAGCCCTGTTCCTATCCTTTCGCTTAAAGAGGTTTTCTCGATATTTTCCTCTCCTGTTTGTTCGGGAAAAATAAAGTTCGGTGGCGACTCTGTCGAACTGCATTTCCGCGCCTTTTGCGCGAGGGTCGTTTCTCCGAAAAGTCTCCGTGATTTTTCGAGGTGCGACACTGCTGCTTGGGCTGCCTCCTCTGTTTTTTTTTTGTTCTTCTATATTATTTGTTGGCTTGTGCAGCTTGCCCCCTAGGTTTGAAGTGAATGTTGATTCACTTTGCCTGTTGTTTTCCCAGGTTCGAGGTTGAGCCGGACTCCCTTGCCTCGCTTGTATTGCTGCATTGCATGCATTTTACTGTTTTGCTTGCTTTCTTTTCTGTTTATCCCCTAGGATCTCTGATTTCCTCTGTGCAGGAGGGAATTATGACAGACATTAGGATTCTTATCCATGCATGACAACATTAGGTTAGTTTTGACTCCCTTTTCAACCCTAGGCTTTTTAGAGCTTCTTTCTCTTCTTATCTCAAAACAACTCAAAAATATACTAATAGGGTTAATCGATGTCGTACGTTACGAGCCTTAAGCTATTTGAGAAAGGGTTGCTGGAGAGTTTCTTTCCAGTAGTCTGGCTGCTTAGTGTGGCACCCTTTGGGTGACACGCAACATAGTCACTCTCAAATCATAGTCTCTAGTGCATCAGAGATTGCAAACAAACTAAAAAAACACTTCTTTCGTAAAAGATTCAAAACAAACATCAAAGTGTAATTTTTGTCTGCTTGGACTCTTAATCAAGAAAAACCCTTTTTGAAGGTAATAAAAAAACAGTCAGACAAATTTGTGTCTTCCGTAGCCCGAACTACGTTTGCTCTAATCTTTCATGCTGTATGAAAGTACGTAGGCATAGGATGCCGTATCCTAGCGAGCAACCTTCCCCTCCTTTCCGTAGGTAGGCGAACTACGTTGACTCTGATTTCTCGTTCCAGACGGGAATACGTAGGCATAAAGTGCGATACTTTGCCGAGTCATTTTCTTTTCTTTTTTAACCCAGACTTGTAGAGTAGATAGAATAACAATCCGTACCAGAAAACAAGCGTGGATCCCGTCGAGTACGACGGACGTGAGGGGTGCTAATACCATCCCCTTGTGTAATCGACTCCCGAATCCAGGAATTTGGTTGCGACGACCTTTCCTTTCCCGTTTTGCGTTAGGTTTACTCTGAGCGTTTCCTTTCCATCCGTTGGGATAAATAACGCACGGTGGCGACTCTTCTGTCATAGCCGGCGCCGATTTTCGCAGTAGCGACAGCTGGCGACTCTGCTGGGGACTCCAACGATTCCCTACGCGAGTCAATCCTAGCGCTTGTTTTCCCGTCGTGGGTTTTGTATGGATTTACCTTTCTGTATTTACTTTCAGTATTATATTATTGTTGTTATGCTGGGTAGGGGGTCAGATTGAGGGATAAGCCGGAACTGGGCTTGAGTGCACCTAGAATTAGTTGTGGAAAGTAGTAGGCGCGTGCATGCTTTGCATGTACTAGTGTCCCGCAAAATCCACGCTCGGACGAGGTTCTTCTGGTTGACTTCTTTTTCAACCCTTTGGGTTGAGGGGGTTGTTGGTTAGTTGGATTGTCGACTCTAGGGACCGATCAATTGGAAGTTGGCTAAGTGAGGCCTCTACAGGACATGATGATGCCACACCTTCTGGGTATCGTATCATCAGTCTTGAAAGTCTGTGACACCGACGACCGCATAGGATGCCGTACCTTGTGTCAGTTGATAGGACACCTACCTATGAGAGGGATTGGGGCATGCAGGAAACTTGACCTCCAGACTACCCGGTTTTCTTGATATTGGATCAGTATGTGTGTTTACTTGGGGTTCTTCATCAGGACAGTGTTGGGTCTATTGAGACCAAAGTGGAGCATTGGTTATGGGTCTGTTGAGACCAGGTTTGAGCAGTATTGTGGGTCTGTTGAGACAGATAATGTGGATGGATCTCTTCAGCAATATATCACTTGATCCCTGTTTGCATGTTTGCATATTGCATTGTCGCATACTCATTCTGCATATCATTAACGTGTGTCTGTGCTGCAGGTGCATTTCATACCCTCTGATTCTAGTTGCCCGAATTTCTGTCTGATATTATAGATACTTTGAAGAAGACTGTGGCATACAAGTTGCCTACTCTAGATGTTTCTTCTTTTCTTGGTTTGATGTCTTTAGCTGATGATGATGTGAAGAGAAGCTTCAGGAAGAGTTATGGGAAACTGCTTAGGTTGGTTTGCAAACCATCCACGTATGAGATGAACGGATTGTATGCACTTACGCAGTTTTATGATCCCCCGCTAAGGTGTTTTACTTTTCCTGACTTCATTCTGGCTCCGACCATGGAGGAATATGCTGAGATCTTGGAGTTAACCATTCAGAACAGGGTACCCTTCATTCATATGGGGGCTGAGCCCAAGCTGGAGGATTTGGCTGTTGCTTTGCATTTAGACTCCTCAGAGTTGCTGTTAACTTCGTGGAATGGAGTTTCTGGTTTTTCTCTCATGTTCTTGGTTGGGAAAGCACAAGAGTATGCCAAGAGTGGTTGTTGGATTGTGTTTAATGCTATCCTTGCTTTGTGTATCTAAGGCATTGTACTGTTCCTTAATATGCCTG